ACCTTTCGGCCCTTAGCCACCTTGGCCGGGCAAGCAATCTCGTAGGCTGTGGCAATCGTACTATTTAGGTGGTTAACTTCCTTCTCTAACTGTTCTTTGGTGGTAATGTCCACAGGAGGTTCCCAAGTTTGACTTTTTAGATTGGTGAGATATTTTTCCCAATCTGTAGCCCTTGGATTCCTCCTTGGGTTAGGAGTGACCTTGTCGACATTTAACTCAAATCTGATCATCCTGTGATCAGACATCGTTATATCGTTGGTCACTCTCCAGTTAGAAACATCTTCATATACTGACCTTGATGCCAACGTTATGTCTATTACTTCCTTCCGGTTGCAAATAACAAACGTTGGTTCTTTGCCTCTGTTTATTACCTCCAAGTCTGTTGATGCCAAATACCCTAGCAGAGATTCTCCCCTGCTATTGGTGTTGGTACTGCCCCACAGGTAGTGGTGGGCGTTGGAATCACATCCTAGCACGAGGGGTATGCACTTGTCACTCGCGAACTTGATTAAACGAGTTAGCTCCGGAGTAGGGCACGGTCCCTCGTACGGTAAATAGACGCTTCCTAATATAATCCTATTTCTAATGCCTCTTACCTTATATTCCAGCAGAATCGCCGTGACATCCCTGGCCCCCAATTGTGGAAGTGGTAGCACATTGAGTTCCTTGGACGTCAGTATGCATGTTCTGCTGCTCTCCTCCTCAGTGCCGACCATGATTTTTAGGCCAGTGGCACCCATTCCTCTAACCCCTTTCCTGTAAACATACGGTTCCTGTACCAGGACAATCTCGCCCTCCCTCCCTGCCAAGACGCTTGCCAGTTCCCCAGCAGCGTCCTTGCAGTGATGTAGGTTGATTTGGCTTACCCGTATGGTGTCCATGACGGAGTGTATCATGGTACGGCCTCAGCACCTAGTTTTCTTCAGTCTGCTTCGAGGTTCCAGCACCAGACGAGCCCTGGCGCACCACGCTACTCCAAGCCGAGACCCTCTTTACAGAGAGGGTCACCAACTCGAAGTAGAGGGCCCACCCAGACTCCTCCAGGCGCTTCACAACCTCTTGGCTAACCAAGAAGACTAGATGCCATGCTCCTGGTCCCCCTGTGGTCTCCAGATGTTTCCAGTTTCCCACGTTAAGGGAGTGGTTCTGGAGATCAAGCATCCTTGTGACCTCTGCCAGGTCCACCTTTTCCTGCCTAAGCCAGAAACCAATCTTCACTGGCCATGGAGCTTCGGCGGCTTTCACCGAAGTGAAAACCACCCACTCAACAGTCAGAGAAGACCAGCTCTCCAGCAGCCAACGCATCGAGGTGTCGTCCCTAGCCGATACCAAGTACCAGCCCGGGTCGACAAGGCCCGACTTGATGAATTTGAGTTCCAAGCGGGAGGATCCCTTAGTGGAATCCTCCATAGCTCGCCTCATTTCACTGATCAGGCTTGCCCTGATGCGTTCGCTTTCATTTGGCAGAACAGTACCTCCAATCCTGTTCGACAAGATGACCACTTGAAGACTTTTGTCGATTGTTGGTCGACTAGTAGCCTTCTGTCGAGCTTCTACCTTTTCTCTACTTTTCGGTCCCCTCTCCGACGCCTTGACAATGTCTCTCTTTAAGGGGGAGACATACCGCCTAGCATCAGATAAGGGCCTCGCCCTCTTTTTATTATATTCCGGAGGTGTCCCCTTATCCGCCCTCTGCCTTTTGCTAGAGGCTGGACCAGGGGCTCTTGTTTGAGCCCCCGTTTCCTGCCTCCCTGCATTAGCCGGCGCCGATGGTAATGGGGGGACGTTTTTACCCTTTCTCAGGTATTCCCTCCTTTTCGGACCCCTTGGAAGCTTGCCAGGTTCCCCAATTCGATTTGGCTTTACCCTTACCTGGCTTGAGCAGCTTGGTTGGGGGTCAGCCATCTCGGATCCGGTTGCCTGTTGAGGAACGTCAGATACTACTAGAGAACGTTGGTCCTCCTGTAGCCTCTTCAGTTCCTTTTTAGCCTCCTTTTCCTTGATTCTCTTTCTCTTATTTTTCTCTCTAGTCCTCTCCTTCCTCCTTTGGGCTTTGATCTCCAGAGCAGTGGCTTTGGCCGGCTCTGGTGATCCAGCAGGATAGTTGAGAAGATCTACCTCTTCTATTGTCAGTGGTGACGACTCGCTTGCCACCACTGTGGAGCTGAGGGGCTCCGGTGTGCGTTCTTTTTGCACGTTACTAGCTTCTGTTTTTTTGTCTCCTTCCATAGTTGGTTTTTTGTTTTGTTTTCCTGACCAACACACACGCGCACACACTTATTTGGGCAGATATCTTTGGACTTTGGGCCTCCCAAAACTTCTCCTAGGGCCAACATAACACAACGTGGATCCCGGTGAGGAAGGTTGTCGGCCGCTTTCAAAAAGTGAAGCCCCCCGGAACATGCAGCAGGCCCTCACCCAGGCGCTACCTGGAACTACTACATGTAACGAGATTATACACCGATTGATAGGGCAGCCCCCTGGTACTAGCTAGGTAAGGGTGGGCCCCTGTACTACTCGGCGGCACGGGTGTGCGGTCCCGCTTTATTTCACCGCTACCGAACCAACTTGACCTCGATACGGGGTCGCGTAGCGTTAGCCCCAGGAGAGAGGGGAAGCCTTCCGTCCATGCCAGGTATTGGTGTAGAGCGTGTGTGAGCGCATGCGTCAATCAGGTTGGCTACCTGCAGGAACAAGTTCCTGGGCGATGGGGTCGCCATATCCCGACGCCAGGGGTTACCTTTTAGTCGCCTTTTACGACAAGCAGGTATTACTGTGGGCCAATTCTACTTTAGTGTCCCCGGTGCCACAGGGGTAGTTAACTATTTTTTCTAAAATATAAAATTTGTGTATGCATTTAAATGTAAATAAAATATATTTTTTAAAGTATTTTTGTTTTTATTATTATACGGGGCGATTATTTTTTCCTGACCATGTACCTTCAATATCTTTTAAAAAGAATAAAATATCAAAAAAATGCAAGAAACAAAAAATGTAACCATGAACCAAGACTATATTATTATGATCTGAAAAAATATAACTTTAACTTAAAGAGAACGCAAAATTCAACCAAACTTTATTTTACAAACTACTTTTATTTTTCGATGACGATAGAAACTGGACCACCCTGTATATTAAACGTTAAACTTAATGCAGTTCCAATTGTTAAATTTGAGAAAAAGTTATAAATAATAAATAAAATTTACCTTTACGTGCACTAAAAGTCCCTCTTGTACTTCAAGGGTGGAAAACTTCCAGATACCTTTTTTTGTCGTTACCCTCCCTTTTGGTGGCAACAATAGTTGGATACAAAATTTTTCATCTGAAAAAGAAAAGAATAACTAGTAACTATAGTCAATACCAAAATTTAAAAATGTTTTCCTTGGAAAAAATAGATACTTACCTTCATTATCAATGGTTTTTAAGCATTCCATATGTTCCAATGCCACAGGATCATGTACACTGCATTTTTTCAAAGATAATAGGATTTCATTTCGTATATAATGATAAAATCGACTGTGGATATATCCACAATCCATTTCGATCTAAAACAAACAAAAAATATATAAAAGTACTCCCCTTAATTAACCTTAATTTGATACATTTTTGTGATTACTGCCCTTATCTGATTTTTTTATTCAAACATATATCAAAATAGAAGTAATTTAATTGAAAAAACAGTGATATTGGGTTGTCTTTGAAAAAGTGGTTGAGACCCACGTTTTCTGCTCTTTAAGTTTAAATATTTTTTTGTTGGTATGCATTTATACGAAAAAAAAAGTTCGGATGGGTTAAAGATTTCAGGATAAGAAAAGTATAGTGCAAACTACACTTTTAAAATATACTTACGTACGTACGTAGAGTTCTTAACTTACCAATAAATGTTTTTATAATTTCAGGAGATAAACCCCATTCCCTTAATAACTCTTCCATTTTCATTAAGTATCACTTACAAATAATAAACAGGAACGCGTCTGGTCCGAGAGAACCCGGTATTTTAAAATCACAACGAATGACGGTTTCGGGTAGACAAACCAGTATCAAAGTGGGGAATTTCTAAGAAGTGTAAAAAAACAACTAAAAGAAATTATTTTGTAGTCAAAATAACTATATTATTTATGTTATTTTCAAAAGAAAACTAGTGATTTAGTCAAAATATTAGGTATTAATAAATTATTATAAACCATAATAAACAAGGTTGACAAGGACAGAAAATAGAAAATCGATAATTTTTTTGTCTAATTAGTTTCACCCATTCGTATATTTATATAAGTCCAATTAGTTTCAAAATAAGAATAAACTGTAACAATATTATATATTCATACATATCGTCGACTTGAACATAACTGTTAAAAACTTTGTTTAATAATAACCAAACTATGAATTTATTGTTTAGGTTGAAATTACACCTATACATATATTTAATTTAAACCTAATTAGTTTTAATTTAAGAATAAACTGTAACAATATATTTTATTCATGTTAATTATAATTAATTTAAGAAATAACACTACATACCGTCGAATTGAACATAACTTTTTAACACTAAAGTTAGTGTTAATTTTGACAATAGATTTTTCTGTGTGTATAATTTTAGATTGTATTATAAAAAGTATATCGATTTCCTTAAATATTCTGTTAAAAATTTCTAAAAAATAATTAAATTCAAAACTATTTAAAATAATTTCATATGTGCCAGCAGATGAGAGAGAGTCTCCGTCCCAATTGGCTGGATTTTCGCTCATTTCCGTAATTACTTGTATTAAATTTTTATGTTCACTACAGACAACATTAACAGTTCTAGAATTATACGCCCATCGGGTTACGGCAACGCGTGGTAATTTTTTTAAACAAAATTTATTGTACAAGTCGGATTGTTTGGTACTTAGGTGAAAAAATTCTGCTAGGTTTTAAATTGTAGTAAAAAAATGTTTAGTTTACACGACTCTACCACACGATTTAGATAAAACTAAATTTAAAATATGTGCACTGCACCGGACAAGTTTCGAGGACTTTTTTTGAACACCATTTTTTTCTGATGACAAAACCGCGGCACCATTATAAGTTAGAGCAATTAATTCATCGGTACATTTATAATTATCTAATATATCAATTATAATCTTTGTTAGTGTTTCTGCAGGACGATTTGCAGCTACACTGGATATTAAGTCATTTTGAATTCTGTTAAAAAGTCCACTGAACACGGCCCTGTTTTTAGTTTCATTAATTGATTGTAAATGATCACTTAAAATACCGTCGTAGTTTGCCAGCAATTTAACACATTCTATAAAAAAAAAATTAATAGATTCAAAATGCCCGTGAAATGGAAGCTCCTGAGATGCCAAATAACAGGTTGTATCAATTAATCGACGCATTATGTTTCGATTTCTATCTACCTTTGCATTATGCCTTTCAATCTCTTCCCGAAATTGACCTGAAAGACTAGTTTCTATGCGAGTTTTACCAAAACTGTACAAGGCAAGTGCACAATTTAAGTGATTACTAGACTGATCATGTTTTTTTGTAGCATTTGTAAAATTATTTAAATCAGTGTAACCAGTCTTGTTAAACACATTTTTTTGTTTTGAAAATAGTAAGCAGGGCCAACAGTACATTTTGTTATTATGGACACACCCACACAACCACTTATAGTTATCATAAAAGTTAATATTAAAATATCTTACTGTCTTTTTTTGTTGTTGAATTAGTTTTAAATTTGGCGTTGGCCGTCCAATCTCGATAACTTTTTGTTTTCACTAAATCAGCGGTTCTTAACCTTTTTGGCTGGCGACCCACAATTCAAAAATATTAGAAGCTCGCGACCCGATAAAAAATAAAATCATCAATTTTCTACATTTTCTTAATTTAAATTAAAGATGCAGTAATTACGGCGCGCTTTTTCAAAAAGTCCCGCAAGTCCCGCGACCCATCTCGATATGGCCCGCGACCCAAATTTGGGTCGCGACCCGAGGTTAAGAAACGATGCACTAAATGTTTAACTGGAAAAGGATATTTTTAATAACCTTTTAACACAGTTCACATCTACACCACAGTTACAATCCGTTAAAATATTCATTTTTTATTATTTTAGGTTATTAAAATATTAAAATTGACTTTATCAATCAGCTGATTGCCACCCACAATTTTGCCTCCACCTACATAAAAGCACTGCCCAATCTATTCTATGCAATGCTTATACGTAAAACGAATCTGCGTTTCACCGTGATAGTATCACATTGATACAATAGAAGGCAAAAGTAGACACCTATAAATTGGTTAATTAATATGTTATTAAATATTTAAAACCTAAGTTATTATATTATTTATTATGTAGGTTTACCTACATTAAATTTAAAAAATAAGTAAATTTTAATTATTTCAAGGTAGGCAATGCTTTTTTGCTTGTATTGTATGCACGCCACTGGTATTTAAATACATTGTTCTACAAACTCTTACTTCCTGGTCACCTGTTTTTAAAAAGTACTTAAAAGTGTGATTTCTTCTAGATTGATCTGGTTCTTTTCTATCTCTCGGCCTTTTAATAAAATCACTCTTTACAGTACTGTCCACTAAAATCTTTTTTCTCCCCAAGTTAAACTCCAAAAATAATCTGATATGTTTTTTTCTTCGCCCTTTTGTTATTTGACAACATTTCCTTACACTTGCACCTTTCTTTAAGCTTTCTTGGTTCTCTTTCTATGTCATAAGTCCATTTCCCGTTTATTTTAGTTCTACCATAGTATCGCTTTTCACTTTATCGCATCTTTCTATAAACCACGTTGCCTTGTCCACCTGAAAATGTTTACGTCGTTTCTTATTTTTTATTCGCATTTCATTAAAACAACTGCTGCCAGACCCTGAGTATGTTACTAACTTGTAATGTAGTCATTATCATTCGATATATCTGAATTAAATTATATACCTCTTATGCCATCCTGCATCTTCTATGTCCATCGCGCCTTCTATGTTTTGTCTGTTTGTTTTTGCTGTGTATGGCACTTCTTCCATTTCAATATTAACATTTTTAACAACTTGATAATTATTTGCGGTGATAACATTGTTAGGATCTTTATTTAAGTTGTGGTAATTACTTTAAACTTGTCTGGCAGCTAATTTCAAAATTATGTAATAAAAATAAAGTTCAGTTCAACAATTGTTAAAGTCTCAGTAAGTAAGACACAACCTTACTGAAGATTTAACAACTAAAAATCAAGTTAGAAGTTATAAGTATAATGAGTAGTGAGTATATTTACATTTTATGATTTTGATTGATTACACCAGTTTACAGTAGATCTGTTGCCAGACAATTTTTTGCTGTTGCTGACTACATATAATATTTTAATTTCAAATATATAAGTAGATTTATTTTATCAGGTCTATTTTTTTGGTTTCGGATATCTACGATTAAAACAGAATAAAACATTTATTTACTAAGAAAAAATGTATTAAAAACTAAATTAATCATTAAGTTATAAAAAACTTCGCTTTAAAGCTCTTCTCGTATGTGTAGATTTAGGGTAAAGGCGTATCAGGCGCATATGTGTATCCCAGTAACCCTGATAACGTTCTTTCATGACGCGTAAATCCTAATGCATACGCTCTCTCTGCTCCTCGCTCATATCCTCTAGATTTTTCGGAAACCCATCCAGGTTACTATGGAGAAAGTGGAGTTTTATGCTCATATTGCACCCCATATTTTTTAATTGTAAAATGAGCTTTTTTACAAGTTCAATATAATTGTCTGATTTTCTATTTCCGAGATATTTTGCATCACAGATACCAAAGCTGTCCAAGCCCTTAATTTAAGCTAAGTCATAAAATTTCTAAATTGAGTATCTTTTGTAAGTTTTCTAATTTGGGGGCCGTCAAAAATACCGGCATTAATCTTTTCTATAGTGAGCTGAGGAAACGTTTGGCAAATGTAGAAAAAGCAGTTTCCGTTTTTATCGAGTGATTTAACAAACTGTTTTATGATCACCAGTTTTATATGCAATGGCGGAAGGATAATTATGTCGCAAGCTACTAGTGAATTGTGGACTATATTTTGCTTCCAAGGGGTCAAATTTTCTCTCAAGGACCAGTTTTTTCTTACCCAATGTTCTTGTATAGCTCTGCTGTTCCAAAGACATATAAAACAGGGAAATTTAGTGTAACCACTTTATTGACCGAGAAGAATGTTCATCATTTTTAAATCAACATAAATTTCCCACTTGTGGTCATTGTATTTTATTTTATTCAAGACTAATAAGATGTTACAATATTTTTTCTTTAACTTTGTACTGTGAGCAATAGACACCCCAGCGTATTTATTTCCGTTATAAGGTAGCCTCAAATGCCTAGCCGTTATAACGTAGCCTAAAATGCATTTTGTTACATATATGTAACAGAATGCATTTTAGGATACGTTTTGAACTGTCAATGAATAAGCGCCATTCACTAGGTTCATATTGTTTAAAACCCATTTTCTGAACAAAAAACAATATTGCCTTCTTCGGAGAAAGCGATTTTTTTCTTTTAGTCTTGATGCCAACAATTCTAAAGCTTTTTTAGAAAGATTCAAATCTCTCAGATCGTTTTGTGAAAAGCGTTTTGACTTGTTTAATTAATCTTCAAAAACATTTTCTGATTAGGTTGATTCTTTATTGTTTGTTTTGTACAAAGGGCTCAGATATATTTTTAGGCACTAAAGAGTCAGGTGAATGTTGCACTGGATGCTGAACAGTAGTAGTACTTGGGTACTGTCATTTAGCTCGATTTTTAGCGTTTATGCCGTTTATGTTGATACTACAAAAGTAACAGCCATCGAGATGATTTTGTGGTTCTCACCAAATGTTTGGTGTTTTAAATTTAAAAGCACGTCTTTTTCCACTTTTCCATAATCTTAAATATTCAACATAAGTATTTTTAACGAAGTATTATATAACTTTTCTAAAATCGTTAAACACATATTCTCCACATATGTAGCAAAAATTATTTGGGTTGTTTAAACAACATGTCCTTGAGCTACTCATGTCGCAAAAACTTTGGATATTAGTTTTAACACTATAAAATACGCACGTTATCAACGAATAAATATGCATAAATGATCAATTTCAAAAACAAAGCAACTTGAGCTGCACAAAAACTTTTTGGTCAGGTTTGAAAAAAACACATCATAAGTAAACATTATCAATAAAAACATTCACGCCAACTGACAAAAAGTTAGATTGAACAACTAGAAATAACAGCAAATGTAAACAAAATAAACGCAAACAACGAACCTAAAAATAGGTTTGCAATGATAACCAAAATGAAAACATTTAAGAAGAAGAACATTGTAACTGGAAATGTACCTGCGGATGAAGAGTTAAAATGCTTTGTAGAAGGAGAAAAAAGACTATGGTTATATATAAATAGAGTGCAAAAGAAGTGCTAAGTGTTCAAAAGTTCAAAGTAATTGAACAGTAAGAATGTATAACATGACTGATCATAGATTAGTGTATTGTAGTGTTTTATTAAATATGGGGAAGCGCAAAGAAAAACGCATTACTAATTAGAAAATAAAGACCCATTATTATTATATTATTATTTACTCTTGCAGAGATTTTAAAAGTTTCAATTTCAATTAATTTAGTTTTGATTCCCAACAAATTGATTGGGATTTCTTAGCTAACATTCAAAATTTAAATAGAAGAGTAAGACTCACCAGGTGGAGGTGGCTGCAAATCGAGTCTCACCCATGCCCTTCCACCCATATGTAGGCAATGCATCCTGGACATGGTTATTTATACAACGCAGAAGTCTGATTTTGTTTCAAATAATGGCATTATACGCCGATCAGCCAGCCTTGCGCGGATAAACCCATCCCGTCTGTCGTGGCCGACGACCTTGCTACTAGCAAGCGTAATTTCTTTGACCATACGTTCTACAGCTTACGTGTGGTTCGGCATTTCAAATAGATATTTATAATCGTTTAAAGATTCCATGTCTCCAGCAATAAGTGCTTCCAATGCCGCCTTCGGGATCCTCATGGTAAGCGGTGGTTCAGTTACTTGCACGGTGTCCCAATAAATTAATTTGGAGTAATCTTTAGCCTTAAAATTAATGGTGGGTATTTCAAATTTTCTGATTGTGGTAGGTGGTAACAATCGGGCATCAAGAATTCAGCGGGCAGCCTCTGAGCGCACAGACAAGGAGTCATCCCACAGCATTGCCACTAACAGCGATTCAGGATGTGCATAAAATCCGTTGGTTTGGATTACATTCTTGACGACTTTGTGCAGAGTGGGTGGTAAGTATCTAGACGCCACTATGGTTTGCCACAAGTTAGTTGCAGCGTCTATTATTCTTGAGTTTTTTTTAACTCTGAACCACGTAAGTGCATACACTCGCACGATGTAGGTGACAATTTTTTTTAGTTCATTGCTAGGGTTTTCAGTTCCTATGTACAGGCGAAGGCAACGGCACGCTAATGTAAGCCACCGTGCATGGTGCACATGGGCAGGGGCCATTGCTGCCAACTCAGGAGAACAATAACCAGTGGTAACAGCGTAAACAATACGGTATAAATACTTCTGATCCATGTTAAGATCACTGTAACTTTTTAGTTCCTGTAGGGACGATATGTCGCAATCAATTATTTCAAAGTCTCTTACAGGTAATATTTCACAGTTGTCAAGCAGCTTACCAATCGGTCCAGAAAACTTCGTAGGACCAGAGGTCTTTCCATCTAGAGTATCAAAAATGTGGGGGAGGGGTAGCTCATTAAAATGTAGCTGACAAACTACTCTCTGCAAGGGCCTATCAAGAAACAACTCAAGCATACGTGCAACTCCCCTGTGCTGCCCAGTATTTGTCGGCTCTCCATCTGACCCCAGTACGGTAAGCTCACTCAAGTCTATCATCTCTTCACTTTTTTCCTTTTTTATAAGAAAGGCCCAAATAGCGTGTGCTATGTCCTCGCCCTTGCCAGTTTCGCACGTTACATGTTCTAGGTACTTGGATCCTGGCTCTTGGACGAGAGCGATGTGTTTTTCTCTTCTTTCACGTTGATGGCTGCGGCCATCTGTTCCTTTTTCAATAACTCTTGTCAAATCATCTTTTCCATCAAAGTATAGCCCATGTATCTTTAAACCAGCAGGAAGATCTTTCGTTTGAAGTTCTTGTCTGATTTTTGTACGCTCTCGTCGAACTTTGCTACGATCAATTACTATGTTATGTTTCTCTGTTTTAGGAACATGCTTGCCTACATCATGCAGCACAGCGGACGCAAGATGTGCAGCCGGTCGATCCGCGATTCCATATCTGTCAGATGCACGAGCGAACGTTTTAAGACATAGCCTTGTCTGATCATGCGAAGCTCCTTTCAGGCGCTTTGGGGGACAGAATTCATTATCTTCAGGATCTGGAATTTGAGAGTCATTGGCAATGGATGCTTTGTTCAACTCGAATGAATTGTTATCGGCAACCTCCTCCTTAATGACTTTTTCGTTACGGGACTCTCTATGAACCTTGCGCATAAATTTCTTTACATTTTTCTGTGTACAGATTTATCAAGATTAGCCATATACATATTTCTCGTTGTGCGCTGGTCCAGAAGAAACTCACGCTCAAGAAAAGGCACTTTATTTTTAGCCACACACCTACACGTTTTAAAATTTGGACATTTACATGCAGAAACATCAAAGAGACGATTTGCTTCTTTAATAAAAGCAGTTAGTTTAACTTGAAAACTTTTTTTTTCCTTATCTCTTGTAAAGCTTTTGTTAATTTTTTTCTCCAGCTCCCGCTCTCTATGGATCATGTCCTGTATTCTTTTTACAGATACTGTTGCGATTGAAGCTCGTTGCCATATTTCCAGAACTTTCTCTGCAACAGCTAAGGAAGCATCATAAAATGACGGCCTGGATAGGTGCTGCTGTTGAATAAACTTGAAATATTGAAGAATATCTCTCCGAGTAGGCAGCTCAAGTAATGACATTTCTTTACTAGGTCCCAAACAACCAAAATCACCAGAGTTCTTTTGAGTATTCGGCATTTTGACACCAAAACGAACGCACAACTATCAAACCAAACATATAAAAATTCACAATGCGACTAAATCTGTAAACAATACAGGGTAAAGTGGGGGGAGTTGTCTGTGCGCACGTGCTGAGACTGCGCGAGTTGTGGGGGATACGAGGCTATTTCCCGTCCTTTCTCACTCTTTTGGCCTACACTGCGAACACATTATCGGCGTTTGGAATTTGTGATAATTGATTAAAACCAAATACCCCAAAGTGCATATTTCTATTGCATTTAACTCTTACTTTGACTTCGTGTTCAGCTACAATGGATAGATAATTTGACTTTCAGTACACTTTAATATGAAAATAAAATCGAAATTGATCATCGGCGCCAGATTGTACCTCAGAGATAATCGAGTTTAGAGTTAAAACAAAACTGGAAAATATGCCTAAAATCATGAAAGTTTGACCGCAATGCGCAAGCGGAAGCCGATGTCGTACACCAATTTTTTTTTTCATTATTTTTTGCATGCGTGTGGGCAACTTTTCCCACCTACCGCCACACAGTGGTCTGAGAGGTAAATTTACGCGGCAAAAATTATTCTTTAAATATTTTTTCCAACACGTGACTTATTTATGTTTTGAGGGTGCTAAATTTACTTCTAATATAATTTTTTTTCTCAAAAATATTTGGTATTGAGGAAGGGGGGGCTAAGTCTAGCCAAATAATATAAAATGATTTTTTTCAATATTCGTGTATTTTTTATTCCTTAATTTATTACTCTCTATACTGCAGTACCGGCGCGGATACAGGGGGGCAAGGGGTGGAATTAACCCCCCCATTGAAGCACTTTATTTTGACCAATTTCAAAAATTTACGATATGGATAACAAACTATAGCTTTATCAAATTTTTTGTTTAAAATGAATTTTCAGGATATAAGTAAAATTACACCCCCTGAATAAAATCCTGTATCCTCGCTTGTTGTGGTTAATAGTAGGTTGTTCAATAAAAAGTCAGTCAGGTAGTGCTAAAACTTCTGTGGGTAAAAAGCATAAGGGGATAAGTCAAAAAGTCAAATTTTTCAGCAGAACCTTAAACGTGTTCGCATTAATTTAGGAAATATATTTAATGTTAGTGGGTATACCCTTTTGCTAGCACATGTCATATGCTAGCAAGAGCGTATACTCGCTAACCATAAATATATTTTCTGAATTAATGCGAACACGTTTAAGGTTCTGCTGAAAAATTTGACTTTTTGACTTATCCCCTTATGCCTTTTACACACAGACTTGTTTTTATGATTTTATTATTATACATTATTTAAGGCTTAAGCATAAAGCAATAAAATCTTGAGATCTTTAGAACAAAACGAAATAAGGACGCTTATTTATTTTTTGTTAGAATTACCTCAAGAAACAAACTAATTATTATTTTTTTCAATCAGATTCATTAGAGTCTTCGGATTTGACCGATCGGTTGTCGTTTTCATTTAATATCACCAAGGATTTGACGGTATCGCAAATTTGTGTTTTCTTTTTCCGAGGTTCAATGCGAATGCTCGATAAGTAAGGATCAGAAGTTTCTAAGAGTCTGTGGAACAGGTCAGTATTAGTATTCAGGCGCGATGATTTTCTGGAATGGTGTTCTCTGTATTTCTTGTAATCTTTATTTCTTGCCTCCTGGGCTTCCTCTGACAATAAACCTACCGAAAGGAAATCCATAGTATAATTGAAACTAAATTTGAATCAGAGCTCTCTCGAGAGGTATATATGCATGTTATGTTACACCTCACCTATTGGAAGAATTGAGAATTTTATCACGTCTGCTCCGTGCATAAGTATTTTGTGGACGCTAGCAGGCATGTAGTACCAAGGATACAATGACACATATAATGAAGCAGTATCTCTTGTATAGGATCGAAAAGCATCTACATTGATGTCATAACCACTTGCGATGGTTTTTAATATAATATCAAATCTGATGATCAAATTAACATCAATGCCCGTGATTTCTGCACTTTTAACTGCATTGCTAAAGAAACGCCTCGCAGTATTTCCATCATTGGTCGTGCCATGACCTAACAGTTAAGATGTTCATTAAAAATTAATATTTTTGCTTAAATTATACATGAATAATATAATATATACCTTGAAGAACTACATCGACTAACAATCCTAGTTCAGATCTTAATTTATCTTGAATTTTTATCTTCATTTGATCTTGCCTAACGTAAAAATTTATATGTTAAAAATTATATACAGAATAGGATGGGTTGAAAAATTTTTTTTTCTTAGCATGTGGGTAGTATTTGTACCTTATAAAAAGAAAATTTTTCAAAAAAAAAAACATTTACTTAACGTTTTGAGATGGCCCACTCGTTTTTTAAATAAATATTTAATGAAATGGGGTAGTTTCAACGGGAAATTCTTTTTTTGGTCTAAAATTGTGGAAAACATGTAAAAATTTTAGAATGTGATTTTTTTTTAGTCAATTTTCATTCTAATACAAAATAAAGTGCATTTAATTTTTTATTTTTTACTTAAATTACAAAAATAATGGGAAATAAACTTTTTAACGTTTGACTTTCAATTGGCTTTTACAAATTCTACCCACCCTAATACAGAAGGTACAAAGCAAATTATTAATTGAAAATGACGACCCCTTTTTTAAGTAAAATATTTTTATTTTTATTTAGACTTATTACTCGTGCATAACTTTTGCACAAATTTGTTCATTAGTATTATATAATTACCTGCCACTTTTTAAAATGTAATCTGTAGGCTATGTGCAGTAAACACTCAAAAAATCGGATCCAAGCATGCAGGGTTGATAATCCAAATCTTAATAGTTCCGGTTCAACAGTAACTGCGTCCCACTTTTCTAATATGTTCATTTCTTTTGGGCAGCATCCCCAAATGTAACATTTTTGACTAGATGTATTCGTAACGGAATTACACACCTGTGAAAAAATCATTGTTTTAGGACATGACCAATCAACGTCATTTATTATACCTTTCCGTCAATCATAGAAAAAATGAGACAATGATTTATTGTTAACGTTGAATTATTTCGAATCACAATGGTAGGTTTTAAATTGTCAATTTCTTCGTCGATTGAGTTAACTTCTTCTCGCGTTAACTCTTTAGTTTCTTTTGCAAACGCAAATTTCAGAGGCCTACAGAAACGGGTTGAAGACGGGCGAGAATTCTGCCAAATTATAACTGTTGAGCCATCGCCATTTTTATGTCGTAATTGTAGTGGTACCAAAGAAATGAGGAAAAGATTGGCATCGCTTTCAGCATCAGGACTCATATAGCGTTGCTTGTACCTTGCATGCCCACTGCTTCCGTCACATCCCCACTTATAAATCATTTCATAATTTTTGGAACCAACAATTTTACCTATTGAATAAATGTCTAATATTCTATTTATAGTATGAGTAAGCAAACTTTGCAATGGAACTCTGCAAGACGTTTCTGTTATTTCTATACTCTCAGGGTAGCATCGTTTCTTTGCTTCAAGAACTTGATCATATGGTGGGAAAATATCAGCGTTTCGCTGTTTTGTTGTTAGTCGTACGTTAAGATACTGCTGTTTAGTTAAGTCATTATCTAACATATGAGCAAGGGCTTCGTCTGACGTCATCGCAATAGGCTTTTTGGTTTCCAATTTAAAGAGCGCTTTCTTTATTGTTTGAGCTTGTTCTGGTGTATCAAAAATCTCTCCGACCATCTTAGCTGCTATTCTTTTACCTTTATATTGAAGAGTGGATTGGGCTAGACGTCTTATTTGTGGTGAACATAAAGAATTCGCAACGATTTTGGTTTTTTCTCTCTGGGATCGATCACTACTTTCCCCGAAACTTTTATGCGGTCTTCCAATATTATGACTTTTTTTTATTTTGTCAGGGAACTCAAATTTGTTCATTAGCCATTCTTCTTCTGATTCCATAAATATACTTATTGTTCGATGGCAACGATCCCATCTCTTCTTTAAAATTATTGCAAAAGATAATATCACATCTTCCACCTTCTTTAGGTATTCATCATCCCAATTCTCGCAGTTGGATATTCCTTTGATTGCAGCGAACAAATAATTCCTTGAAGAAATAGACGTCGGATTCAAAGTTTTCTGCTCTCTTAGGATTAAAAAGAGATCCTTGTTTGTAAGAGATTCACAGCTCTTACTCATATTTCCTATATAAAATAAATGTTTTTAGTTTGTACCAGGAAGCGATCGCCAATTTTGGCAACATAGAGCAAACATAATTTTTTTAATCATGAATAACCTAAAAACCATAACCTTCAAAGTATCAAAAATTATATCAATTATATCAACATTTCACATTTCACCACCTTCTGGTTTTTTTTAGCCAATATAGTAATCGTTTACAATAGGAAAAACTTATAATTTTTATTATGATTTAATTACTCTTGCTTGTTTTAGAATCCCATATAAAAATTGTACTACCCTCTTGAAGCATGTTCCTGTTTTTTTAATTTCTGGGCACCCTGTACTTTTTAATTAATAATTAATTTTAAACCATCAGAGGTTTTTATAAAAAAGTAATTTTTCCGTAAAACGCATTTTTATAAAAACCTTATTAGATTTTCTTAATTTCTGAGCACCCTGTACATTTAATTAAAACGTTTGTATATGAATCCCATTTTATAAAACAAGCAGGAGTTTTTATAAAGAATGATTTTTTGCGGTTCCCATACGAAAATTTTACTACTTGTATCTTATTTTGATATATTTTGTTTTAAATTTCTGAGCACCCTGTACATATAATTAATTTTTGTATTGAATTCTAAATTTCAAACCATCAGATATTTTCATAAAGAAAAATTTTTTCCATAAAACGCACTTCTACGTTTTTAGGATTTCTTACTTTCTGAGCACCCTGTACATTCAATTCAAAATGTTTTTACAGGAATCATATTTTTGAAACAAGCAAGAGTTTTTATGAAAAATGTTTTTTCTGTAATATTATATTAATTCTATTGTCAACCTGATGGGGACACTTTGTATAATATACAAGGTATATTAAAACAACAATATTATGTAATAGGAGTAAAAAACAATTTTATTACCAATATTAAAATACCAGGTATTAAATACCTACAATAATTATTGTCAAATTTAAAAAATATAGGTATTACTTTTATGAGCAGGTTGGGGTAATTTTTGTCGGCCTTATTTCATTTTTGCATAACTCTCTTATAGGCGCATAAAGGCAGATGAATTTTTATAAAGTTGTAACTTGAGGTTCATATTTTCGAATGCAATAAGTGGTTCTGTGTAAGTAATTATAAATTTTTACTTACATTCCATTTATTATTTGAAATTACACAAACTTCAAAATTTGTAGGTTAAAAACGCTATATTTTCGACAAATAATCCAAAAAAGACATTCTAAAGTTGTATTTGTCAAAATTATATTTGCGCAACACCTTTTTTAATACGAAAATGCCAAGATTCCGAAAGTAAGAGATTTTTGACAATTCTTGTTTTCGTTTCAGGTTTTTGTTATAACGCAACGCATGCTCAGTAACTTCTACTTCGCAGTTTAAAATCTTAGGTAATAATCTGTCAAGAACAATAAAGAGGCATCAAAATGCGTTTTTAAAGTGTTTTGAAAATAGGGTTTTTGCCGCGTAAATTTACCTCTCAGACCACTGTGCGCCACACCAAATTCGAAAAAAATGTTTTTTTGATCCGGCCTATTCTGCAGGGATACATGCACATGGCATATCTAGGAAATTACTTAAATAACTACCTCAAAAGTAGTTAAAATATATTAAAGTAGTTTAACTATACAAAGTAGTTACGACTGAGTAGTTAACTACTTTTTTAACTACTTTTTTAACTACTTTTTAGGAATATTTATATGAAAACCTAAAATAATCGAGTATAACTACTAGGTAAAAAAAAGTAGTTAAAATACGATTATTTTTAGAAAAAAAGTAGTTAACTACGTAGTTATCTACATTTGTAGTTAACTACTGCCCAGCTCTGGTGACTGCACACCTCAGCACCTTCCCACCATCTGGTCTTACTTTTGATCCGTTTACAATGTCAAAAAAAAAAGTCTGCGTGTTTACTGTCTCTTTTGTAATACACTGATTTCGTGAAAGGAATTGCTTTAATTGGGTTTGTATTTATTGTGAATAGTAAATTAAAAATTAATTGAATTTTAGAATGCAGATACCCAAAATATGTAAAAAGGCTGATGACACATAAAACATGTTACACTATTGAAAATAAAAAATTAGTAATTTAGTCCCCTTTGTTTTAATTTCAATTTCTTAATTTTCTCTTTATAGATTTGGGAATCTGTTAATTTATTTAACATTTTGGTTTCCAAATCACCCACATCCAATTCATAAAGAGCCTGAATATGAATCCAACTGGCATTTTTTCCACCTTTTCATTAAAATAAGACATCATATTTTAATAAATTATTTCTGACGCCTTTTAATAAATGTAGGCAATCATATGTCTATGCCACTAAATTCTTTTTCTAAAATTAAATATTTTCTGTTCCCCCTTCAGCATTTTAAACGCAGTTCCATGAACCATGAAACTGGTCGCTATATAGTTAGTTTGACTTTTCGTTCAAATAACCCGAACTTAGGATAGTATCGCCTTAAAAAGATATTTCTCTTTAGACAATGGGTTATTAAAAAATCCTTCGGTCTATAACTCATATTGCGAATTTATGCAAAATCACTTGGATAAAAATCATATGTCCCTTATAAATAATAATTTAAACAGGAAGCCTTTTAAATTCCGCATCATTGTATTAGTAACGCTATAACATCTAAGTTTAGAGTAGTTTATAACACGTTCCAAAAAACTGCTTAAACATTTTGCTTAATGATAGTTCACTTATAGGCCCTAAGATTCAAAGGGAAATTGGTCACCTGCTATTGTCTTTTCGGTATCATTCGGTAGTGCAAATATTCGTCAAATGTATAGGCAAATTCTGGTTAAAAAAAGTTATAGACCATGTCAAACAATATTATGGCGCTTAACCCTGCACGAACCAATTAAAGAGTATGCCTTAAACACCATTACCTTCAGACTTAATAGTGCCCCAGTTTTTGGTTTGCGAACCTTAAGCCAACTTGCCAAAAACAAACAGGATCTTTTGCCTTTAGCTTCTGGGGTTCTAATTAATGATGTTTTTGTAGACGACATTATAACCGGATCCGCCTAAATTGATTCGGCTTTAAAAAATAAATTAAAATGTTAAAAGGGGTTCCAAACTTCCCAAAAGCATTAGAAAACTTGTCCATTTTTAGATTCGAAAAAATGTACTAGGGTAGGATGTCTAAACATTATGAGCTGGCCAAATAGCTTTTAAATTAGCTAAAGGCCAATAAATTTTGAAGAAGAAGAAGAATAAGGGTAGGATGTCGATTTAAAAATGCGTCTTTATGGTACGATGCTAAACACCCATAAATATTACATAATAAGCATAGAATAGTTAATTTAATAATAGAGAAAATTCATAAGACTAATTGTCATCCCGGTTTAAATCCTACAAACTACTTATTACGTCAAGGATTTTTGATTTTGGGAGCGCGTAGTGCTATAGATCTTGTGTTGCATAGTTGCTTAAACTGTTTAAGAGTAAATTCAAAATCGTACACTCCCAAAATGGGAGATTTACCTCAATTTAGAGTATCTCAATCCAAACCATTTTCATATGTAGGTATTGACTTTTATATTACTTTAAGAAGAATGCGAGGTGGAAGAACCACTAAAGCATATATTTGCATTTTTGTTTGTAGTAGAGTAAAAGCCTTCTAGAATTGTGTTCTGATATATTTAGTAAAACCTTTTTGGGGGCATTTAGGCGTTTCGTAGCTCGTCGTGGTAGGTGCGATCATATTTTTAGTGATAAAAGCATAAACTTTTGCGGCGCAAATAATTTGCTGGATAAGTATTAAAAATGCTTCTAAAAAGTAAGCAATTAAATAAAAATTTAATATTCCTACTCATAGTCTTCAGGGTGGATTGTTTAAAGCCGAGGTAAAAAGTGTCAAAACACATTTAGCGAGTACTATTGGTAATCAAATTTTAACTCTATACAGTTCTCACCCAAGTTGAAGCGCTATTGAATTCTCGGCCCTTAGGTCCAGCTAATTCTGATCCAAACGATTTTTCGGTACTCACCCCTGAGCATTTTTTGACTTAAGAACCTTTAACGATGATGTCCGATAGCGACTTTTCAGATACTTAAATTGGCAGTTTGTTCAATACCTTAACCAACAATTTTGGAAAAGGTGGCATGTCGAATATTTGCACACATTGCAACAAAGGCAAAAAAGACTTGTTATACTTCAATGTTATACCTGCAAACCTCTTCAATGGGATTTAGAACGGAAAACTAAAGTGTACGATAATCGTTTCGCCAAACTTTAAAGGCCCAGTAAACCGGCAACAGAAAGAGATGCACAGTTTTATTTTTAGATCTGGGCAAAGCTTTTAAACGCGGCAAGGTGCTAGTTTAATGTAATTATTTGATAAAAATGTTGGCGAATGGCGAATTCAAGCGTTAAAGCGTGTTTGTAACCACTAAAAAAACTTATTAGCTTAGAATTTTAACTTATTGTACATCATTTGGTTAAATCGCAAGTTTAGTATTTTATACGAAAAAACTTCATGCAACAGCAAACTTTAGCTTGCTTTTAAAACGGGACAAATATCTTCATTAATAACGTATGAGAATAGATTAACAAACTATATTAAAATTTAATATATGGCTCATTATTTTTACTGGAACGTTACAGTTGCACACATATTTTGCTTATTTTAAAATGACTATTAATAAAAACTCGCAGTTTCTTGTATGCATGAAATAAGGGACCTTGAGACTTACATTTTGTTTAGTTAATTTTTTTTTGTATCTTTAACAGTTTTTATTTTATAAGCATTTTACATTTACTGGAATGTTACACAATTTTGTAAGTGTGTATAGAGGTTGTTATGCATTTTTTGAAAAATCTGCGAATTGGCCAAATCAATTTAATTTATTTTTGAATATAATATAAATGACATATCAAAATAAATATTTCGATTAGAAATATATAAAGAAAAAAATATTAAATGTGATTATCGGTAAAAATGTCATTGCTGGAACGTTACACAAAATTTCTGGAACGTTACACGTACGAACTCAATAATAAATTTGGTGTAAAAAATCATCATAACAATTTATTGTGTACTTTTTAAATAATGACAATAATTTGGAAAATTATTTACAAACACAGGGTGTCCCAAACTAACCTGGCTCTAGTTCCTAAACCGTTTGAGATATTTCAGTGAAACATAACAACTATATTATTTCAATATAAAGGTTAAAAGAAAGCCATATCTTGATCCTAAAATTTTAAATAAAAAATTTATATTTTAATTAATTTATTTATTTAAGGGTTACTTGATTTAAAAAATTAAGATTAATTTTCTCAAACATTTATTAACCGATTTACGATCGGAAAAAGTATTTAATGGATTACGAATCCTACAAGAAAATATAATAAAATATACAGGATTTTATTCAAAATTTTTGGTTTAATTTTATTACAATTATTTTAAAGCACTCAATACCTATATTTTATTCTACTGAAATATCATAAACGGTTTAGGAACTAGAACCTGGCTAAATCAGTTTTGGACAACCTCTATAAATCTTTATGTAATAAACTTAAACACAAATACTATGAAACAATAAATTTTATGTGTTATATCCATGTTTAGAAGTACAAAATATAACAGGTTTGCCATTAATTACTTGGATTTGGTGAGCATTGGAAATATCGCGAATGGTTTTGGCATTTGAAAACAGTTCAATTGTGTTTAGTAAAAAATTTGTTTTTTGAAAATTCTCCTCTGTTACTTCATCAACTTCAATTTCTGATGGTCCCATTTTAATGGCTCTTACAAAATTAGATGCACTATTGACGATTACATCACGCGCTTTAATGTGTCTTCGTACAATAGTTTTGGCAGTTGCGCCGATTCCATCTACACATCCCTTTCCATGGGCCGTTGCAAAATAGTTCCAAACTATCTTCAGACTAAATCTTTCTTCTAATCGTGGAATCAGGGTAGCGATAAACTTATTTTTAAATTGAGATGACGGTCCGTCACTCCAAATTTTTAAAACTTTTAAAGAGTCTGGCAGCTTTGAAAGCACTTGAAATAAATAGGTAACAATTGTGTCCTTGGTGTGCGTTAAATTATCTGATACTAGAACTTTTGCTTTAAATGTGTTGTTGTAGTAAAAACCAGTTGTGAACAAAGAAAGCTGACGCTGGTTCCAATGCGCATTTTGTACCTCATCTTGCCCCTCGCAAATGAAATTTTCAGCGAAATCGACTTGAAGGAGGCCCTCATCAGGAAATTGGACATTTTTTGCTCTTGGCCTATCGTGCATATTGAACATTTCCGATTGTTCCCGTTTAATAAAACTATGCTTTAAAAATTTTGCTGACAAAGCACATGTATGGTCAATAAGATTGGCCAAACTTCCATTTTCCTTTACCTTTTCGATTCTATTTACTCCAACTTTCTTCCAGACCATCCATGATATTTTTGAATCGAGAGATATATCACCCACTAGCTCATTCAGTTTAAAAATAGAAATACCAGGGCACTTGTCACACCTTCCAAACCAACAATCCATTTTAGATTCTTTGCATATGAAAAGTTTTACAAAACCATTATCGTAATTCGGTAAACTATCAACTGCTTTGTGTAAAGAAGAGACCGCTTCAATAAAATTTGAATGGTATGAGCACATGCACACGTTATGAGGTAAATCTCTTATCATTTTAATATGCGCTGGTCGATGCTGGTAGAAATAATTAATACCACATGAACCTGAAAAAAAATCCATGTATGATATTTTAAAATTTTAATCAAATAATTACTTTCTCCTTTACTCTTTTGTTCTTCGTCAAATAGTGCAAAGGCTTCCTTTATTGTGAGTAGCATATGTCTTGTCGACAATAATTTGGTTTGTCCAGTTTCTGGGCATACATATTCTCTCACGTCTCGAATTTTGGGCGAAACTCGTGAGATATCATCTCTTTCAAGAAATGTGTAAATTGCTTTTATAAGGATCCAATTTGGTATACATTTTCTTTTTACAGGGGTTGATTTGATAACATTAATAAATTCTTGTTTTTCCTTATCATCCATTTTGGAAACTATATTTGCAAGAACTGCTCTCTTCTTTGTCGGAGATGCAGGAATCGCAAGTTTTGCTTTTTTTACTGCTTTTCCAAGCGTTTGTATGCAATTATATCCAACGAAACCTAATTTACTGCTTTTGCTAATTTCTTGACTCTTTCGCTCTCTGTATTTCTTAACTCTTTCGTGTACTGCTTCACGTCGATCTTTGACAACCTTTTTTAGATCTGCAAATAACATTTTTTTCTCAATATTTTTTTTATTTTCTCGATATTTCCTCATATAATCTGTTTTTCTCCTTTTGTAATCATCGTATTTTTCGGTGGCTTTTAATTTTTTAGTATAATTTTGGTTGTACTGAGATTTTCTCATTTGTTTCTGTAAAATGATAATGATTTTATAATAGTTAATAGTAAAAAACACCAAATTTTTCCCAATGACATTGATAATAGTTACTTACGTAACAAGTATACTTATACCTATAGGATATGGATATTATTAATGCACGCATGTGAAAATTTGCACGACGAGGCTGTAGGCCGAGTCGTGTAATCACATAAGTGCGTTAATAATATAGTATCCTAAGTGTTACGTACAACATTTTATCTACAGCTATAACTATTATTATTTTGAGTAAAAATAATTAGTTTAAAAATTGAATACAGAATGCAGGTAATAAGAATTTGTATCACCTTAGCAACAGGCATAGATACGATTGTCACTAAATTGCTTCTGTCGATTATTGTCAAAGTTGTGTCTGAAAATTGCACATTTTAAAATGAGTTCAAGCGATGTAATTTGCCATAATAATGCCCAACAATGCCCCAACAATAAAGACAAATATCAAAAAAAAATATTTAAAAACCTAAACCACTTAAAAATATTTTTAACATGTTGGTCAATATTCTCATTAAAAAATTTCTGGAACGTTACAAATGTTTTTCAGTCATTTTTATATTTATAAATCACTAATATCATAATTTTTCTTTATATATCCAAAAAGAACCAGAAAAATTTAAAAAAATATGTTACAAACTTTGCACTTTAATATTTTGAAATACCCAAAAACAAACTTTTTGCATTTTTTTTTCTGGAACGTTACATGGATTTTTCTTAATACACAATCCAAATAAATATGTGTTCCAAGATATATTTTTCTTCACATTTAAAAAAAATCGTTTAATTTAACTGTGTTCTATTATAATATAGTTAATTAACACAAAACAGGTCGTAAAAACAAACAATATTTACCTTATTCTTTACACTGGTATTTTCATTCATTTTATTGTCGCTTGAAACATTTACAATAATGCCGCGAAATGTCATATTTAAATTGGTTTTGTCTGTTGCCAAAGGTAACGCACAAAACAATAACATGTAATTTTACCAAATAAAACCAAATTGGCGCGATATTTGAAAAAATATAAATTCCAATCTGGTTTATGTTCTCGAATAATGGGCCATATATTTAATATGTTTATTTTAAAACTTGTAACTTTTATAAAGACATAATAAAATAATATTATTTTTATTTTATTATAAAAAATAATGTAAGAGTAAATAAATAAAACAAAACCAAAGACAATTTATTTGTCCTAAATTAAGACAAAAAATAAATACAGACGGTTAGAAAAAATAAAATTAAAAACTTTAATTACAAATAAAATAAAAATATGGAGAAAAAAAACATTTTTATTATAAAAAACAGAAAAGGGATCACAGTCTGATTAAAATAGATCTTACAAGGATAAACAATCATACAAAATAAAAAATACATTATAAAAATAAAGTTAAATTCACTTATAATGTGTATAGGTACTATGTCTAATTATTCTAAACGATTTTGCAAATCCACAAATCGTTCACATAACTTAGGTGTAATTTGAGCACACATTTCCCGTGTATAATTCTCCAAAGCTATTTGCTGCATTTCTTCAGGCCATTCTCTAACCATATAGCCCCACAAATTCTCTATGAAGGTCTGCAGATCTTAAGGGCCAATTAAGCACTTCTATATTGGGATGCCCAGCAAACCAGTTGGTAACAATTCGAGCCTTATGTATTGGCACAAATAGAATGCCATTATAAGCATTTGCACAAGGAAGTAAATATTTCTATCAATGGCCCAGCACCATGAGAGGTCATATACGACCAATATGCTCTGTTTACCACTGTCCCTATTTTTTACAACATTTTCCTTAGTGTATCTTATATTATTTGGCCTGTATACGTGCACTCTACCATGAGAATTTAAGCGAAATGTTTTTTTTTTATCAGAAAAAACTATATTTGACCAGTCCAAGTAAAGATTTGTTATAGCAAACCTAAATATGGCCAAAGCTAAAACTTCAGTAAGACCTATTTTTGCAGGTCTTCTACAATACAAGTCTTTATCAGACAGTCTTTTGCGTGGTGTTTCAGAACAACAAGTTAAACCCTCAACATTTTGTCGAATAAGACTACAATTAGTCTTAGAATTTGCTCTGACGTATTCTAAAACTTATTGATCCTGTTTTGGAGTGGTGGCTGTTGCTAAACCAAGCGGTCTCAGATGTCTTTGGACATTTCCTTCATTTTGGAATCTTCTGATCCACCGTTTTACTGTCTTTCTCTAAGATGAATATATTAACTGAATTTAAATTTAATAAAAATTAAGTTTGTTAAAATGTAATACATGAAAAAGGATTTAAACAACTCTTTTTATTACTTATAAAATGGCTGGCTGTTTTATAATCTCGTATAGAAAAATCGTAATGCTTTAATATAGGGTCTAAAACTTTTTTAAAGAAAAATAATAAGGACAAATTTTTGTAATTTAGTTTAATTTTGATACATAATTTGTATTGATCACGCGGTAAATATACTATTTGTAAAAAATTAAAGTAATTTTTTTCAATATTTAAAAATACATATATCAATTTATAATTTGGAACGTAAAATTTAATAATTTTGCAAAAATATAAATTTGCAAAAAAACAATTTTTTACATTTAAAAAAATCTTGAGCCACTTTTTAATTTAATTTTAATTATTATAATGTAATATTTACTATTTATTTCTTTTTATTTAATTTTAAAAAAAATACCTAATTTAATTTGTTTAAAAATATAACACATATTGTAAATGGTCTACGGTTTTGAACACTTCAAGTTAAAATTCTAGCGCTTGTTTTTGTTATCACAATGGCCCAATTTCTGTTATTGTAAATACCTACTGTAAATGCAATTCTTTAGGCCTTTAACCCCCACATCTGTTTTGCTTACAGAATATAATGTTGAAAGTAAGTATTTGTCGAACCTAACGGATCAACACAGTACTGATAAGTATTGGATACCAACAGTCCACAGGCCCAACCAATAGTGTCATGTAGAATTTTTGGAAACCAATAATTTAAAGACATTTGAGGTAGAAAGGAAAAAGGGACGTCTAGTTGGAAAAACAAAAATTCAGTTATTTTTTTTAAACACTATACTAAATTCTGAAACTTTGAGTTAAAATTCATTCTCGCCCATTAACAATTTTCAGTTTAAAAAAAATTGCTTTAAAACCATAATTTACCCAAAAATTAAATAAAGTACCCTCTAATAGTTAAGCACCCTCCAATAGTTAAGAAAACTTTTGATAGTTATCAATGTTTTGGCCTCCTACAATTTTATCTTAGAAACAAGAGGTACCTTTTCCCTTTCCACCTCACATATTTGAATAAAAAGGTATACATAATATGTATATATATATATATATTATATATATATATATTATATAAAGAGTAGACCTGAAAAACACATTGTGTCCATTAGCTATAAATTTTGAAGTAGAGGTTTTTCTAGTTTTTTTGAAATTGTTTTATTATTATATTATTACCATTCACTAAAGAATGAGAAGACGTGCAACCGGATAGGAATATCTGTGCCAAGCGTTTTAGTTGAAAATATAGGAAAATGTGTCGGTAAGGTCTCACCATCTACCCAACATTTTTCTAAGTTTGGGAATGAGAGGTTTTCGTTTCATTTCGCTTGAAATTCCGATATCCCACGCGAGCTTCTTGCCCCTCTTTTTACTTAACTTGTCGCCTGGCAAATGCGATTTCGGCGTGTTTGTGTCTGGAGAGTTTATTTTTTAGGAAAGCGTTTGTTATTATTTCATTGTAAGTGACCAAAAGAATGAATTTATTTGTTATTAATTTATTTACTATTCATAGTGCTGTTCTGAGAGGTAATTTATATTCTATTTAATTATATAGGTATTGTAAGGGTCCTGTAGTATATAAACTTTTAAATTCAAATTTGGCCCTATTTTAACAAAGGAAAATTTAAATAATCCACTAAAAATATTATTATAGTTTTAAGTTATTTTATGTTTTAAAATCCTATTGCATTTTAAAATTTCACTTCTTTGTATCTGAACGTCGAAATATTAGGGGTGATCTGTTTATGTTACACATTCTTGCTTAAGTGGCATAGAGTTTAAAAGCTAGATTAGGAAATATATTACACACAGAGGGTTTTTGCTCGCCCTTCGAGATACTCCTGTTGAACAGTTTGTGAAATATATTATAATATCGTTATAGTTTTTGTGATTGTTACCGATTTTCTGCTATATTTAGGTATGTACACTTTTATAAATTGTAATATTTGCTAGTAATGAGAAACAACTCCTCGTTTTGGGTTTTCTTAATACATTTTTGCTTATAATTTTGAACAATATTATTTAATTCGCATTTTGGTCTATGACGTTTATCATTGCTAGTTTATTGGGTCCTACTCATTTTAATATGTGTAAATAGCGAGTGATTTTTGGTAATAATTTTTATTGTATCACTATTTCATTATTTTGGTTTAATATCTTGGGATCGCTCATACACTGAGTTTCAATCTTTATGTTGTCGCGTTCATCAATACACTGAATTACATTTGTCTTAAATTTTAATATTTTGTGTTGTCTTTATATTGAGTTACACTGACCTTTGTATAAATAACGTTGTTTTGTTGTTTTCTTTTGTATAACTTTGTATAACTTTCTATTTAACTGAAATGTATTTTATTGTTTATGAAACTCAGTGTATCATCTCGGTATTAAGGTATTTATTTATTTTAAATCTTTGCATTTGTACTCAGGCTAAAGCTTTTAACAATTATATTATTCTTATCATATTGGTATTACTTGGGTAAGGTTTATAAAATGCTATTATTATTATTTTTGCTATTATTATCACATAATTTGATATTACCATTAGGTAATATCATGGTAAGGTAATAGTACCGATTGGCATTTTGATAGATTCGGATTGGAGACTTAGGATTAAACCTGCTTACCTAAGCGCTTTAATTTAAATACTTGATAATGACTTTTTGGGTGCTATATTTTGTTCTTATAATAATATTTATTTTATACAGCGCGACACTTTCATGTGGTTTGAGTTTTAGGCTATGTTTGGGTGTTTTTGTAATAACGCTCTCCTATTTATTATTTTATTGTATTTTATTTATATTTTACACCCTTTTATTTTATTGCATATTGTTGATTTTATTTGTGCCTGTATTTGTATTTGTGTCTTGTGGGAAAAGCGTTTTACTTGAACATCTAAGCATGGGTAATATAAAGGCATTAGGTGAAAGGTGGTGTCGTTATGTTACTTACCTTTAATTTCTGTGGGCAGGCCGTGTTTGTATGCTTTTACAATACTATTGTCTTGTGCTGGACATTGATTTTGTGAGGGGATTTAAATTGCGTAAGTGGTATAAAGGCACTAAGTGAGAGCAGTGTCGTTATATCTCTTCCACAGATGGTTTGCTTCACATTTTTCCATAGTGTGGTTATTAGCTACGGGGAATATCTGCATTATATCAATAATTCCCCGCGTTCCTATCCTATTTAGCATTCGAATTCTCTCTATATGAAAGTTGTAGTTGCTGTTCGTTTATTATTATTATTATTATTTTATAAAATCGTATCATCGTACAATAGTTCGAAGATGCGTGGTAAGGTAATCAAATAGTACAAATCTTTGTCATAAAATGACAATCTCTAAGAATGACTTTACATGAGTATAAAATGTTTAGAATATTGATAAAATACCCAAATCAAATGAAATATGTTTATCTGCTTTTTATGCCATTTTATTCACTTATTATTTATACTGTATTCTTGTGATTATGACCCATATGACTATGTTTTGTTTTGTAATTTATTTTTATTTAACTGTGTAAGTCGACAGGGTTTTTATGGTCCCTTTTCCCTGTGCTTTGACTCAACGGGCCACCCCTTTGTCTTTGCTTAAATTAAATCAGGGGTTTAAAAATTAAATACTTTTGTTTCATTAAACCTGACCAATTTCAAAATAACGTTATTATCAATGTAAGTAAATACACAACGTAGAGTCCTAAATTTTGTAAAGAATCGGGTTACGAAAATACATAGTGTACCTTACAGTATTATTAATTATTATTTAATTAAAAATGTAGGTATGTATGTAAGTGGTACCTACATATATGATATTTTGTCATTTAAAATATATAGTATAGTATAGTATATTTCGATAAATGATCATATGTACAATAGAAACTTAACTTATTATACAGTGTACCCTAAAGGTGTAGATCGTGTCAATAAATAATTCAAAATAAAAGCATAAGTATACACAATTAAAATTCTAGAAAAGGATAAAACTACAGTTAGAATAAGACATTAAAATATTAAAACAATACATTAAAATATTAAAACCATACATTAAAATATTAAAACAATACATCAAGTGCTGGAAAGTATAATACATTCTAGATCATGGAAATCTTTCTCCTCCAAAAATTCATTAATACTATAGTAACATTTTTTGACTAGAAACTTGTTTAGTTTTGCTTTTTGTTGGTTGATCTTTAATGTTTTGAAAAATGTGGGTAGTATATTCCAGATTTTGACTATCATATATAATATGTTTTTTTGCAAGTAAGAGAAATTTGCTCGATCAGGATATAGCAGATCCTTGTTTCTAGTATTATATATATGATCATGTTGAAGATCTGTTAAGGTGGAGCTATTTTTTATTGCAAACATTATACATTCATAGACATAAAGACTGTGTAAAGTAAGGATATTATTATTCACAAATGCCTCCCTGCACGAATCTAGTGGTTCCATTTTAAATATGGTTCTTAGGTATAAATATAATATTATGTATGTTCACGGTGTTTTCGTATAAATTGGACACCCCTCTAAAATCTTTATTTGAAGAGATATTAAAAAATTTAAAAATCCAGCTTGCATGGTTTAAAAAGTAATTTTTTTGACAAAAATTAAAAAACAAAAAAGCATTGGTAAAATTGATGTATTTAATTGGTATTTGATATTTTAATATCGTCGTCAAAATACGGATCGGATCGTTTAAAAATGTTTTATGTGCTCTAAATACTAAAGATAAATTATGTTTATTGTGATTAAATTTGTAAACACTTAAAAATTTGTAATAAGTGTATTTACAATAACTTTTAGTGGTTTGTTTTGTGTTTATGTGATGTGAAAATGGATTTTATTTAGTAAAACAAATTTTAATATTGCGTTAACAACATTTTGAACGAATAAAAAGTGTAAGGATAAAAACAGTACAAAAAACTATAAATTAAATTAAAATAAAAATTGTGTCCCGACTGGGAATTGAACGCGGGCCGCCTCGGTCGATGTGAGTTTGGGTGGACGCCTTCAAATCAAATCAAATCAAATCAAATCAAACATATTTATTTAACATTAATATCATTTGTTTTAATAGACATTTTTGGTATTTCATGGCACATACAATTATAATAATGAAATATAATATATAATAATTAAAAAACACATTATTAATTTATTAACAAAAACAGTAAAGTTTCATTCACAACCTCGAAATTAGCAAATAAAATTAGTAATATCACTTAACGTCAAAGTTTGTTTCCGTACATTTGGATGAGCCCATTCACAACCTTGAAATTAGTAGCGTGACGTTTTACGCAGTCGGAAAAGTTTACAAACTCCAAACTTTTTCGACTAATTTACAAGTGGGGCATGCGCAATGCGCACGGGATGATACAAGTGTCAGTTATAAATTGACATTTAAATTGAGGTTATTATTTATGTGTTGTATTTAAAAATAATGGCCTTAAGAAATAGGGAAGTTGCGGGAAAGGTAGTAGTTCTTTTGGGTGCTTACTTCTTGCTAAGGAGAAAAAGACGAGAAAGACGTTGGTGGGTTCGGCCAATTAATAGGAATCGTGTACAACAAGGAGACTTTGATAACTTGGTGCAAGAAATGCGGCTGACTGATCCTGGAATGTTTTTTAATTATACCAGATTAAATTTGGAGCAATTTGACAGTTTACTGGCGTTAGTGGGGCCCATCATAATAAAAAAAAGTTATAGAGAATGTATACCCCCCGGAGCTCGACTTTGTTTGACATTAAGGTATGATTATAACTCCTTTATTTTAATAAATATATGAATATATATAATTTCAGACATTTAGCAGCAGGTGATATCATTCCAACACTAGCATTTAGCTATAGAATAGGAAAATCTACAACTTGTTGTATTATTAATGAAGTCTGTGATGCTATCTGGGAAGTTTTATGTGACAAGGTCTTAAAACTTCCAGATGAAAATGGTTGGACCCAGATCAGTAAAGGGTTTGAAAATATATGGAACCTGCCAAGATGTGTGGGAGCCATCGATGGTAAACATGTGGCAATTCGGGCACCATACAACACTAATTCCTTATACTTTAACTATAAAAAACATTTTAGTATAGTACTTTTCGCAGCTTGTGACTATAACTATTGTTTTACATTGGGGCATATGGTTCGCAAAGTGATGGCGGGGTTCTTAGAGCATCTTCTTTTGGATATAAACTAAATAATAATCTGTTGGGGCTTCCTCCAGATAAAAGTTTCCCTGGACAAACTAGACCAGCACCATACTATTTTGTTGGAGATGAGGCATTTCCACTTCAAACAAATTTAATGAGTCCATATGGAGGAAAATTGCTATCTCTACCCCAAAGAATATTTAATTATCGTTTGTCCCGGGCAAGACGATGCATTGAAAATGCATTTGGCATAATGGTTGCAAGATTTCGTATATTTCATAGTACTATATATAAACAACCACAAAATGTTGACAAAACAATTAAAGCATGTGTAGTTCTTCACAACTATATTAAAAAGTATGAAGCAAGCACACCTAGTACACAGAGAAGATATTGTCAGACATCATTTGGAGATCATGAAGTAGATGGAAATCTGATTTCTGGTGAATGGCGAAGAGAGTTACCATTAAACCCTGCTCTTCAGCCAGTGCAACAATTAGCTCGTAGAGTTGGAACAAGAAACGCCACACAAAATGCATTAAATTATAGAAACTATATTTTAAGATATGTAAATAGTGACATTGGAAGTGTGCCCTGGCAACATGAGGCTGTAAATAAATAAATAAAGTAATTGTATTCCAACTTCTATAAAATTTATTTTATTGTAAGGTTTCAGAAAATAAACAAACATAAATTACCTATATATATTTTTTATTCAAATGTAAATTAAAGTCGCATTAATCGTCTTTTTTTTATTAATATTTCATTAACTTCATCTTTAAAATCCTCAAGGATATTTGAAGGCATTCTATTCATTTCTTGCTCTAAGTTTGCACAAAATGCATGAATATACTCCGATCCTGCACTTGGCTCAGTTTTATCAAAATTGGCTGCAATAGATTCTAAAGCAGAAGAAACACGTTCGTCGATGGTCCTCTTCTTGTTTCTGCTCCTAATGAAAAATGTTTAATAAGATAAGTTTATAACCATTTCTGTGTTACTTACGGTGTTGGAGTTAAATGCATTGCACTCCTTTTCTTTCGGTTAATTATTTCTTCATCAAAATCCCCACTTTCCTCTTCAGACTGTCCTTTTAACAATTTTGAGGACTGTGGTGTGCCTGACTGGCCTTGCCCTAAATTTAATGATGCTGTTGACACCCACGAATCTGATGAAAGTATTGATTCATCAAGCAGGTCCTTAATGGTGATGCCATCCTCAACCTCTATTTCAACCGACAAAGACTGGCTCGACTGACTTGGTTTATTTAAAATACTGCTAGCCGTTCTACAAAAAACAAGTCAATTAAACAAATTATAACAGTATAGCACTGTAGCAACTTACTGTCTAGGTTTCAGCACCTCGTCTAAGAATCGCATCAATTCAAACAGATGCCACTCTTTTTGTTTTGAGGCACCTGAACCGCTTTTACTATCCGTATCTTTTTTTCTTTTTATTCTGGAATATTTTTCCCGCATGGACTTAAAAAGTTTGGAAGCTTCTTCACCTAAAATTCCACATTAAAGCCTAAAATACTTAAATTTTATATTCTCTTACCTGAAATTCCGAATTTTTCGCCTATTTCTTGCCAAGCTCTCTCTTTTTTTGGCCCATTTTTAAAATCTGTATGGCTTTTATCATATAAAAATCTGCTTCCTATAACTAGTTGTATAAAGTTTTCTTCCATTATACTAACACACTATACAAATACTTTAACGTTTTTGTTAAACAAACCGATTGGATCCAAATTGATTGTGCCGTTACACTTAAAAATAACAAATGACAGCTGATGCCGTCAAAAAATCAACCTGTATTATCGACCGATGCAGTTCTGCGACCGGCTACCGCAAGATGCCACTAGCAAATTTCATTAACTTTAATTGCTAATTTTTGGCATTGTGAATGATCATTTTTCTTTAAGTATAAGTGTAATTGAGCTCACTAATTTATTCTACTAATTTCGAGGTTGTGAATGAGCCTTAAGACAGTATAATTCTGCCCACTTGTCCTTGGGGTATAAGGGTGTCTCCGGTTCGCTGGGGTTGGTGCCCGCGTCACGGAATCTCTGGCAGGTGTTTTGCCCTTGTATTGAACTATGAAGACCTTCAATTTTTGAAGTCAGAGCTGGCCATTTCCTTCGCTAAAGCGATCCAGAGGCGCGAATGGTGTGGATTTTTGGAATTGAGGTAGTTGGCAATGAGGGTAGGTCTTTATATTTCCTTATTTAGGTTTTTGTTTTAAAGGGAAAAGATATTAAAAACCCTTTTTTAAGAAATTGTATGGTATTTTTTGAGTTCAATGTTTTTATTTATGTAGAAATTATTTGTATAAGTAAATATATATACGTGTGTTGTTATGTTGTTTGCTTTAATTTATATTAATTTTGTATATTTTAAGAAATTTTGTAGTAGCGTTTATTTTGTGGCTCAGTGAAACGGAGTTTTATGTTGCCGCACAGTGCAGAGAAATTTATTATTTTTTGAGAATTTTGGTTATTTTTTGTTATTTTTTTCTGGTTTTTTTATATGTTGTGCGGTGATTTTTTTTAAGCCCTTTTGGTTTTTGGGACAATTTTGCATATTTTTTCTATTTAATTTTCGAAACTGTGCATGTTAATTTTGTTTACTGCATATGAATCGAATGTTTATTTATATGTTTTTTATGTTTGTTTACGACTAAATAATATTGAAAAGTTTTGAAATTTTACGTTTTAGTATTCTAATTTATTTCGTTCGGGCCGTACGCGCGTTTTCTGCTTCGAGTAAACACCAGCGTAATGTAAGCTTCCTTTCGGCCAGCCTCCAATCCGGCCACGCATGCGCATACATGTCTCGGTCACGCTAGACTTTCATTAACCAGCCTTCACTTCGGCCACGCATGCGCCTTCTGCACTTGATTGTATTTTTAAATCCAAAGCCAAATAAGAACAATGTATTTACGTGGGAAATTATTAATACAAATAATAAACAATATATTTTCTCAAATAAGTAACCATAAATGACAAAAATATACAGAAAACTGTTTTGATAGTGTATAACCACAAAGTTGTCGACAAATCATATTTTCCATTTTAAAGGAAAATAAGAACAATATTGACTTGGAAAATTGTTTTAGTGGATAGTGAACAGTACATTAAGTCGAAATTTCTCAACAGAAGTGTCTAAAAAGTGCGTAAAATGGAAGAAATTTCTATAAAACATCTGGCTTCCAAACCGGTCAGAAGATTTTTTGAATTGGAAGCTAATTAAGAACAATATTGACGTGTTAGATTGTTTATATGGATGGTGAAAAGTGCACTAAATCGTATTTTAGCAAAAAAAAAAGTCGAAAAAAGTGCCCCAAATACAAGAAATTTTTGAAAAACTGTCAGCCTCTAGTTCGGTCACGCATGCGCATTCTGCATCCAGTGTTTATAAAGTCATATTTTCCCTTTTAAAGCCAAATAAGGACAATATGGACGTGTGAAATTGTTTATATTAATAATAAACATTATATTTTCTCAGATAAGTGCCAATAATTGACAAAAATTTAAAGAAAAGTGTTTTGGTAATGTATAACCACAAAGTTGTATCGACAAATCATATTTTCCATTTTAAAGGAAAATTAGAACAATATTGACTTGAAAAATTGTTTAAGTGGGTAGTAAACAGTACATTAAGTCGAAATTTATCAACAGATGTGTTTAAAAAGTGCGTAAAATGAAAGAAATTTCTATGAAACATCTGGCTTCCAAACTGGCCAGAGGTTTTTTTGAATTGAAAGGTAAATAAGAACAATATTGACGTGTGAAATTGTTTCTATGGATGGTAAAAAGTGCGCTAAATCGAATTTTAACAAAAAAAATTCAAAAAAGTGCCCAAAATACAAGAAATTGTTGAAAAACTACCAGCCTCCAGTTCGGCCACGCATGCGCATTCTGCACTCGGTGTATATAAAGTCATATTTTCACTTTTAGTTCGGTCACGCATGCGCATTCTGCATCCAGTGTTTATAAAGTCATATTTTCCCTTTTAAAGCCAAATAGGACAATATGGACGTGGGAAATTGTTTATATTGATAATAAACATTATATTTTCTCAGATAAGTGCCAATAATTGACAAAAATGTAAAGAAAAGTGTTTTGGTAATGTACAACCACAAAGTTGTATCGACAAATCATATTTTCAATTTTAAAGGAAAATAAGAACAATATTGACTTGGGAAATTGTTTGAGTGGGTAGTGAACAGTACATTAAGTCGAAATTTATCAACAGAAGTGTCTAAAAAGTGCTTAAAATGAAGAAATTTCTATAAAACATCTGGCTTCCAAACCTGCCAGAAGATTTTTTGAATTGGAAGCTAAATGAGAACAATATTGACGAGTGAAATTGTTTATATGGATGGTGAAAAGTGCGCTAAATCGTATTTTATTAAAAAAAATTAAAAAAGTGCCCAAAATACAAGAAATCGTTAAAAAACTACCAGCCTCCAGTTCGGCCACGCATGCGCATTCTGCACTCGGTGTATATAAAGTCATATTTTCCCTTTTAAAGCCAAATAAGAACAACATGGACGTGGGAAATTGTTTATATTGATAATAAACATTATATTATCTCAGATAAGTGCCAAAAATTGACAAAAATGTAGCGAAAAGTGTTTTGGTAGTTTTAAACCACAAAGTTGTGTCGACAAATCGTATTTTTCATATTAAAGGAAAATAAGAACAGTATTTACGTAAAAAATTGTTTATATGGATGAGGAACAGTGCAGATAAGTGCCAATAATTGACAAAAATGTAAAAAAAAAGTGTTTTGGTAATGTATAACCACAAAGTTGTATTGACAAATCATATTTTCAATTTTAAAGGAAAATAAGAACAATGAAGATTTTTTGAATTGGAAGCTAAATAAGAAAAATATTGACGTGGGAAATTGTTTGTATGGATGGCGAAAAGTGCGCTAAATTGTATTTTAACAAAAAAGTTTCGAAAAAAGTGCCCAAAATACAAGAAATTGTTGAAAAACTGCCAGCCTCCAGCCACGCATGCGCATTCTGTATCCAGTGTTTATAAACTCATATTTTCCCTTTTAAAGCCGAATAAGGACAATATGGACGTGGGAAATAGTTTATATTGATATTAAACATTTTATTTTCTCAGATAAGCGCTAATGACAAAAATGTAGCGAAAAGTGTTTTGGTAGTTTAAAACCACAAAGTTCCCAACTAGTATTTTTATATTTTATAATACTTGCCAAAACGCTTCCGACACAAAAATTATAAAACAAACATTACTCTCAGAAACGTTTTAAAAATGTTTATAAGACAGCTTTAAATGTAAAATTGGCACCACTTTATAAAAATTTCAGTTTTGGTTAGTATTTTGTAAAAGCTTTTGGAAACATAATAAAATTATTTTACAAACATTTCGGCAAGTCTTACAAAAACTTTACAAAAGCATTATAAAACATTTTTGTTGAAGCTTTTTATACTGCGCTATAAAATATACTTTACGAAAGAATAAACATTTCTATAAAACAACTAAACTGCGCACCACTCAATGTGTCGCGACCAAAAAGTTAGTCCTTTTTCAAAACGACATAACTTTTTTGTTTCTTAAACGATTTTATTTTGGTCTGTGATGTCTGCTAACCCCATCCTCTGGCAATTCATGCTATAGAATCTATAGCATAGTATAGATATTAAGCCCACGGTTCTTCAAGTATATTTCCTACAGGGTGATATGTAAAACGGTGAAATATTCATCCAAACCCCGTTTGTAAAAAATATTTTTTTTTCGTTTTTACTTTAAAATAATGAAGTATTATGTGTTACCTTGAAACGATTTTCAAATTTTTCAAATTGGAAAGCAACGAAAATATGATTTTTTTTCAAAAGAGTACATTTAAGGCTTTTTTGTAGGCAATACACTCAGTCTTTTTAGGAACAAGAAGATAAGATGTTGAAAGATTGTTCCTTAAATAATTCTGAACAAGCGACAAGCAACAAACCTCCATTATTTTCAGAAGGCCTAAGCTAAGCGAGCTTGCGAGCGAGTGCTTAAATTAATAAGTGTATAGAAAAGTTTATAAACGAGGTGCATACTATACTTTTTCTACGACAAATACTTATTATTATCTTAAAATGATTTAAATCAAAAATTTGTATAGAGCGCCATCTATGAAACAATAAGGGAATCTGTGTGTGACCGTCAAATGTCAATTTTTTTTATTTTATAAAGAGAGATTATAAAGATTATAAATCGAAATGTATTTCTTGAAAATTGACAGTTTTACACAGTGAAAGTAAAGAAAATGTTTTATGAGCACTTTACAGTGGAGTCAGTGCCCGAATTTAAGTTATAGTTTAAACTATAACTTAACGGCAGTAATTACGAAATTAAAAGGTCAGTACAATGTTCATATAAACTTTTCAAATATTGGCGTTGAGAAACTATTTAATACTTTTGCATTTTTGTATTGAGATAATAAAATAATTTTCACATTTAGTATTATTTTACAAAAAAAGCAATTTATTTTAACGATTGTATGACATTTGACATCTGTCAACTAACTTAAAACTAACTTCAGCCAGTGACTAAAAACCTGTTGCTAACTTCAGCCCGTGACTAAAGCGCCATAAAGCCACAACTTGTCAATGTGTATTTAAAAGGCCACTTAGTGTCATGGCAACATGTACGATAAAGGGCGT